GCACATAAATACGCCGGCCCTTATGAATTGTGGTGGCGTCAACTTTCCCCCCGATGGAACCATCCATCCGCCTGCATGGAGCAGCGATGCTGACCGGACGGGCATCTGTCAGTTGCCGCCACCCCGTGAATGAAGGGATGAAACAAATTCTGGCGAGACAACTGCGCCGCAAGTTAATGCTGAGCCGTCACGTCAGAACGAGGATTGGCAACAGTCTGCGGCGGCTGACGGACCCAACACCGTTGATCGGAGTCCCGCATCCAACGCGGCTACCAACACGTCCGAGGCGAGGCCTTCCTTCGCCAACGGTCCGAGAATATTATTGGTGTTGAATGCATCCGGGATCATGTCTGTCACTTATGGCGGCAGGAAACACGTTGCTGCGGATAACACGTACGAGGTGAGTGAGAACAACGCCACCGGACACAAATCTCCTTTGTTCATAAAATGGCTTTGCAGGCAGTGGATTTGTTGCTGAGGGTGATGCGGGCGGATTGAGTCAACGCAATGCCTTTGGACACGAAAACCCCAATTACGAGAATTCACCGCGCAGTATTCTGGGAGCGGTGTGAGTCTACACGAGTGCTTTGCCCTGCGCAACGACGTTCAATTGACACTGCGAGAGTTAACTGTTGACGGCATTGTGCGTGTGTGCGTGTGTTGGGTGTTGCTGCTTCTTCTGGGATTGTGTGGAATTGCGACTCCTCACGGAGAACATGTGCCGCGTTCCCTGCGTGTGTTACTTTTTTAATTATTTTTTTACTGTTGGTTTTGTTTTTGTGTTGCTTTTCCGGAATGATAAGAACCCCTATTTACTTAATGGTCAGTTGCTGCACACCGTCATGGGTGACGTGCTTCCCCCTCTTTTGTTTGCTTTTTTTTGCCCACACGCGGTGCCGGCCTCATTGCTGTGCGTCCCACGGACTGCACGAAGGAGGATTGGAGGAACAGGCCGGATGCCGCAATGAAGTGTGAGAGATGTTGTGTGGGCTGGTGGAACAGTACGAAACTTTTTTGATTTATTCAGTGCGGGAATCATGTGTAGACAAACAAATGTCTTTTTTCTTTATTGTGCCGTATGGCACACGAAATGAAGGTCGTGCCTGATCGATGTTTCATATTTTTTTAACTTTTTGGGAGCCTTGCCGGACTCTCAACTCTGTTCGTTTTCCTTTTTTTACTGCTTTTTATATTTCTGTTTTGCAAGGCGGTGTGCGAGTTCTGCAACTGCACTTATTCCCTCTGTCTCATGGTGTGTGCTGCTGTTGTTGCTGCCAATTGTTACTGTAGAGTGGCTGTGCTTGGTTTTTTAACATTTTCCCCTTTTGCTTTCACTCTGCGTTGACGTGTTGTTAGTTTGTGCTGAAGGCTGCACGCAAGTGACAGGAGTGATGGCGATGATGACGACTGGCCGTGTGCTGCTGGTGTGTGCCCTCTGCGTGCTGTGGTGCGGTGCTGGCGGTGGTGGACGAGCTGAAACACCTTCTTCACCTTCTCTGGAAACTCAGCCCGAAAAGAGCACTCAAAAGAAAGAAGAGGTTGTCGCTGGAGATGTTGACCAAAGCAGTAAACCGGTAGCGCCTAAAGAACCCACACCAAAGGCGTCAGAATTACCGGAAAAGCCAGCTAACTCATTACAGCCACAACAACCCGGAGGAGCATCAAAAGCGGCAAGTCCAACGACGGACAGCATGGTTCAAAATACAGAAGGTAAAAATGAGGAAGAGGAAGAGGAAGGGGATGATACGAAAGAAAAGGAGGAGACAAAGAAAGAAGAAGAAACTGTTACCAGCATCACAGGGGGGATCTCAGCAGGCGGTCAAGAGCAGCCGAGTTTATCTTCTGCTGCGGAGGGAGCATCGAATATAACAAATCCCAACAGCACCCAAACAACTGGAGACGGTGATCCAGCAGCTGATGGTGCAGGGACAGCAGAGGGAAAACAAAATGAAAATAAAGATGCCAATCCGAAAGAAACACCAGTGACGGCCGCAGCCATGAAAACTACAACGGCTACGACTGGCAACAGCGACGGCAGCACCGCGGTATCCCACACCACCTCCCCTCTTTTGCTTCTTCTTCTTGTTGTTGCGTGTGCGGCTGCGGTGGTGGCCGCGTGAGAGTGAGGGAGAGAGAGCCGTGCACCGCCCGCACACACACTCGTCCTTCTCTCTCTGTGTGTGTGTCCCCTTGCATGGACTCTCGCCCTCACCTCACCCCACGAGGCACACATAATAATGTGCCCATTGTATATATGCATGCACACCCATGCAGGCCCGTTGGTGCTCTCTTTTGCACGACACGCACCGCTGCCGTCCTGCCTGGCTGCATGGGCGGAGCACCGTAACTGTTTCTGTTTTGTTTTTATTGCATTGAGTGGGCGACCTCTCTCTCTCTCTCCGTCTGTGTGTGTGTTTTGCTTTACGGGAGCAATGAGTGTGTGTGCGCTGGTCGTCCCATGCTTCGGCTTTTTGTTTTGTTTTCCTTTTTGATTTTGTGGTTGAGTGCACCCATTCCGCGGCTGCGTGTGTGTGTGTGTGATGATATGAGTAATTTGCGTGTGTGCTATCTGCCTCTCTCTGCCGTTGCTTTCTTCAGACTCTCTTGTGGCGCACAGCTGCTCTGCAAGTATAGGCGCTGCCAAACGCACACACACGCTATGTCACACACGGTATGGAGCGGCGTGAACGCTGAGGACGCACGCACACAATTTTTCTGTGGCCCTTGAGAGGAGGGATGACGGAGACCGCGATTTGTTTTGTTTCTGTGCTAAGGGCGTGATTTTCGTGGCGTGCAGCAGTTGACGAATGTGGTGTGACATTAAGGGTGCCTGGGAGGAGTGCCGATTCTCACCCGGCAGCTGCACGTGCCGACGTGTTCCTCCCGCTGTTCATACAGCGACGGAGGATTCTCCGGCTGTGCGGGGCGATGTGCGGTGGAGGGTGCGGGGAGAGACAACAGTAAAACGACTGGCGGCAGCGTGTGTGGGCGTTACTCGGTGTGCGCTGACGCGTGGCGGAGGCGCAAGATACCCGCTGTGGCTTTTACTGCTGGTGGCAGTCGCTGTGTGTTATCGGTGCACTGTTCTTCCTTCTCATTCCGTGTGTCTGTGTGCGTGAGCTGTTGTTGTTGGGAGTGACTGCAGTGGGGATGATGATGCCACTCACTGTGGATGGGCGGCGGTGCTCACTGTTTCACTCCCCTTTCCTCTTCTCTTTCTCACACACGAAGAAAGCAAACAATCGCTAATCGCTGCTGTGATATTCGAAGGCACTGAAAGGACCAACAGCGTACACACCGCCCACACACACATAAATTTATATGTTCTCACGTGTTGCTGCAGTGAAGGCACCCCGCACACAAAACCGTCGCTGCGTGACCGGATCCAGCGGAAGGAGGAGGGAAGGAAGAGAGAGTGAGCCGCAGAGGCCCAACATGTCCCGGCATCTCTTCTACTCTGCGGTGCTGCTGCTTCTTCTTGTTGCGATGATGTGCTGCAACGCTGGTGGGGCTCAGCAAACTATTAAGACGGCGCCAGATCCGAGATCTTTACCGAAGACATATTTTGTTTGGAGAGATAAGAAAGGTGAAGAAACAGTGGTTTACCTCCGTGTTCCCAGTCTTGTTGAGGTGAAAGGTGATGTGTTTGCTGTTGCCGAGGCGCCGTGCAAGGATGGCGGTGAGAAAGCATTTACTGGAATTGCCTCGGAGGTCCTGACATTGAGTGATGAAGAATCAAAAGAATTGGATAAAAATGCAGTAAAGACACAAGTACTGGAGGAATGTGCATTTGATAAGAAAAGCGGCTGCCATATAGCGGGTCAGGATGATTCCAAAACCCAGACGAGAGTACTTTTGAGCCGACCAACAACAGTTGTGAAGGGAAGTGATATTTACATGCTTGCTGGGAATTACAGTTGGACACTTGCCGCTGGTGTTCAGGGAGCTGATGCAGGCGACTGGGGACTCGTGCTGGTGAAAGGGAACGTCAGTAATGAAAAAAGTCAAAAAAGAATCTTTTGGAATGATACTTACGCTATCCCGTGGAATTATAACAAAAAAAATGAATCCTTGGCGCTGCTGGTTGGCAGCGGTGGATCGGGTGTTAAGATGGAGGACGGTACGCTTGTGTTCCCAGTGGAAGGCACGAGGAAAAAGACGACGAACCAGGTTGGCACTGAAGAGGATGAAAAGACCGTATCGCTGATCATCCACTCCTTGAAGGATACTAATAGTTGGACGCTGTCGAAGGGGATGTCTGACGGTGGCTGCAGTGATCCCTCCGTCGTGGAGTGGGAGGACAAAAAACTCATCATGTTGACTGCGTGTGGTGATGGCTGCCGCAGGGTGTACGAGTCCGGTGACAAGGGGGAGTCGTGGACGGAGGCACTCGGGACACTCTCGCGCGTGTGGGGCAACAAACAGGGCGAAGGTGGCGTTAGAAGCGGGTTCATCACAGCGACGATTGACGATGTTGATGATAAGAGAAATGTGATGCTCGTCACTCTGCCGGTGTATCCCGAGAAGGCTGATAAAAAAGAAGCGGGCAATGGAAAGAGTGAACTCCATCTTTGGCTGACGGACAATACGCACATTGTTGATATTGGGCCGGTATCAGGTGATGACGCTGCCGCCAGCTCCCTGTTGTACAAAAGTGATGGAAGTGGAGATAAGAAGGAGTTGATTGCACTGTACGAAAAGAAGAAGGACGGTGAGGAATCATCACCCAGTATGGTCTCTGTGCTTCTGACTGAGCAGCTGCAGCGTGTGAAGGATGTGCTGGCGACGTGGAAGAAAGTGGACGACCTTGTCTCCGAGCTGTGCCCTTCTGAGAGTGATGTGGAGAGTGCCTCACCTGAAGATGCCTGCAGCACTACTGATGTTAAGATCACGGATGGGCTGGTTGGCTTTCTGTCCGGCAACCTCTCTGAGAACACATGGAGGGACGAGTACCTCGGGGTGAACGCCACAGTGAAGAAGAAAGAGGATGCAGGGGAGACAGGGGCAACAAATACTTCCGATGGTGTGAAGTTCCGGGGAGCGTGGGCGGAGTGGCCTGTTGGCAAGCAGGGGGAGAATCAGCTGTACCACTTTGCGAACTACGACTTCACTCTTGTGGCGACGGTGTCCATTGACAAGGTGCCGCAGGGAGATACCCCTGTTCCTTTGTTGGGTGTGCATCTGGAGGGTAAAGACAAGCTTATGGAGTTGTCATATGACAGCGAAAAGAAGTGGCAGGTGCTTTGCAGTGACGGCAAGATCAAGAAGCTAAAAAGTACTTGGGCGACAGAGATACAGCACCAAGTGGCCATTGTGCTACGAAACGGCACCCATGGCACCGCGTACGTCGATGGTAAGCGTGTGTGTGTGGATGCGCAACGTAGCTCGGATAATACGGAAGGTAAAAAGATCTCCCACTTCTACATTGGAGGGGATGGTGGCAGTGCAGACAACACAAGAAGCCGTGAAGACGTGTCTGTGACGGTGAGGAACGTCTTTCTGTACAACCGCCCGTGGACTTCCGAAGAGATTGGCGCCCTCAACCCGAATAAAGTCCCCATTACGTCTCCGGTGACCGAAAATGCGCCGGGAAACATGTTGCAGTCTCCTGCGAAACCACAGCCGTCGGAACAGGAAACGTTGATGACGAATATTGGTTGTGTCGGTGGCGGTGTATCCAGTGCAGCTTCCATTGCTACGACTCCCTCGTCTGATGCTGCTCAAACGGTGGCGACAGGGAGTGGAGATACAATGCTGGGAAATGGATCACCCCAAACTCCTGAGGTGAGCGTGAGCTCAGGTGGGGATAAGGAAACGGTGGAAGGGATGGATGGGCAGGAGGAGGGAATCCATGCACGGGTCAGGGACGTGAATGCCACGGCACTCAGCAGCAGTCTCGGAAATGTGTCGCAGGGGAATAACAGCGATGCCGGCACTGTGCGTGGGAGCGGACTGCTATCATTGCTGCTTCTTCTGTTGGGACTGTGGTGTTTGCGTCTCTGTGAGGAGTGACTGGCTGCCGCGTGGGACAATTTCGACCTCCCTGCACCGACACACACGGTAATTAATTTATCTTCTTTAATAACATTTTTTCACTTTTTCCCTGTTTTCTTTGCTGTGCGTTTTATTTCCCCATTCCTTCTTTTTTTGGGGGGAAATCAATAAGGACGCGTTTTCTTTTCTACTCTTCCCTCTTTAATTGTTTGTTGCTGCACTCTTCCTGTGAGGGGTGCCGTGTGCTTCCCGCCCAACTGCTCCACTCGCACACCCACCGACACGCTCATGACGACGGCCCTGTGCGCCTCGCCTGCTGCACGCATGAGGAGGGGCCGCGACGTGTGGGCGTGCGACGAGGGCCTGTGGGGCGGAGCACACATTTCTTCCCTCTTGTTTTGTTTTCTTTGCGGTCAGGGCGGGCAGACACCCGCAGCGCCACGCACACAGCCACTCCCTGCCGCCGTGTTTTTCTTTAGGGATTTGTTTTGCTTTTCGTGTTTATTTCATGCGGTGGCGCACCCTTCGGTGTCGGCCTCGTGAGCATTTCTCTCCCCTCCGATGATTTCTTTTTTTTTGCTGCGCTCACTCTCCCGATGGAGTGACGCGACTCCCGTCATTTCTGCGTGCTTCTCTCAGTCCCCACACACACGAGTGACTGTGCTCTGCGGGCCGCACTCACGCGCCGATGAGAGGGCTGCGGGGAGCAGCAACACGCAGATGACCCCATGAAATATAAACGATGTGCGGACACATGGAGGGTTGGACGGTCGAAGCACACGTAACCATCTTTTTAATTTTCTTTTGTGGGCAAAATACATACAGACAGTTTGGTGTGGCCACACGGCAGCCAGGCGATTTTTTTCTTGTTTTAAATTTGTGTGGAGCAGCAATGGACGATTTCTTTTTCATTTATAATTATTTTGTGTGGTGGGGTTTGCATAAGACGACGGGGGACGTTTTTTTGTTTTCAATAAATATTGTGTGGATTGCCGCTGCTTGGGCTGCGGTGCAGTCATGAGTTTGAGCGGTCTTCTTGTTGTTTCCGTTATGCGTCTCCGCTGTACATTTTTGTGCGTCCCTCCACATACTCTGCTCCCTCTTTTTTGCGTCTTTGCTTTTTGTTGCTGCAGGCACACACAACCACACACACACAGGATGCACATTGCGGTGGATTTGAATGCACCTTTTGTAGTGCATGCTGGCAGCTGCGTGTGGCGGCTGTTGTCTTCTTCCGTGGCCATGAGGAGGAGGGAGAGAGGGAGAGAGGGAGCGCACCCCGAGTCTACTTTCCTGCGGGTGTGATGCACCGCGTGTGACTGCGCTGAGTTGGGCTCCGTGTCCCATTGATGGCGGGATGGCAGGAAATTTGTTGCCGCGTGATGGATGGATGAGGGTTCGCTTGCTCCGTGTGCGTTGTGTGGTGGCCGCGGGGTTTTGCCATTTCCCTGGGGCTGCGGGAATGAGCTGGGGGAGATGGTGGTGGATGTCTTCTCCTCCTGCATGGTGGGTGGCTGCTGGCGTTGTGTGCCTTCCTTGCGTGGATGCCGTCTCGTGGTGTGTGAACTGTGCGGCTGGGCCTGTTGCCCTCTCCTCATGTTGTCTGCGCTCCCTCTCGCTGTATCCGCTGTGCTCCGTCCCTCTCCCTCTCGTTCCATTCTTTTCCTTTCTGTCTCACCGATCGGCTGACTGACCCCGGCGACTCCACTACGGGAGATGATGACTGCGATGGTGACGGTGCGGCGCCGTGTTGGCCCTTGCGCTCTCGTGCTGCTGCTGCTCGTCCGTGTGTTGGCTGCTGGGAGTCCTGGAGATGTATCTGGTGATGCGGAAGCGGTGGTTGTGCTGGTGGATGTGTCGTGTGCTCCGTGTGACGGCAGCCTGAGCTATCGTGTGTGTGTGGGCGTGGAAGAAATGTTCCGCTGCCATTGCTGAGGCTTGGTATGAGAATTATACGTTCAGTGGCTTTGGTGTGCGCGTGCATGGCAGGAATGGTGAGCTGGGTGCTGTGTGCCATGTGGCCAATGCGGTGCACACATGTAGCAACTGTGCTGCCAGCCGTGCAACGAAGGAAGAAGGGGCCACCGTTGCCTTCACGATGAATGTGACGACACATAAATATGCCGGCCCTTATGAATTGTGGTGGCGTCTTTTTTCCCCCGATGGAACCATCCATCCGCCTGCACGGAGCGGCGATGCTGACCGGACGGGCATCTGTCAGTTGCCGCCACCCCGTGAAGGGAAGGACGACACAAAATCTGGTGGGACAACTGCGCCGCAAGTTAATGCTGAGCCGTCACGTCAAAACGAGGATTGGCGACGGTCTGCTGCGGCTGACGCACCCAACACCGTCGATCGGAGTCCCGCATCCAACACGGCGACCAACACGTCCGTGACGAGGCCTTCCTTTGCCAACGGTCCGAGAATAGTAGTGCCGTCGAATGCATCCGGGATCATGTCTGTCACTTATGGCGGCAGGGAACACTTTGCTGCGGTTAACACGGACGAGGTGAGTGAGCCCGACGCCACCGGACACAAGACTCTCGTTTTAGAAAATGGTGTTGCAGGCAGTGGATTTGTTGCTGAGGGTGATGCGGACGGATTGAGTCAACGCAATGCCTCTGGACACGAGAACAAACCCCAATGACGAGAATTCACCGCGCAGTATTCCGGGAGCGGTGTGAGTCTACACGACTGCTTTGCCCTGCGCAACGACGCTCAATTGACACTGCGAGAGTTAACTGTTGACGGCACCGTGCGTGTGTGCGTGTATTGGGTGTTGCTGCTTCTTCTGGGATTGTGTGGAGTTGCGGCTCCTCACGGAGAACATGTGCCGCTTTCCCTGCGTGTGTTACTTTTTTAATTATTTTTTTACTGTTAGTTTTGTTTTTGTGTTGCTTTTCCGGAATGATAAGAACCCCTATTTATTTAATGGTCGGTTGCTGCACACCGTCATGGGTGACGTGCTTCCCCCTCTTTTGATTGCTTTTTTTTGCCCACACGCGGTGCCGGCCTCATTGCTGTGCGTCCCACGGACTGCACGAAGGGAGGATTGGAGGAACAGGCCGGCTGCCGCAGTGAAGTGTGAGAGATGTTGTGTGGGCTGGTGGAACAGTACGAACCTTTTTTGCTTTATTCAGTGCGGGGATCATGTATAAACAAACAAATGTTTTTTTCTTTATTGTGCCGTATGGCACACGAAATGAAGGTCGTGCCTGATCGATGTTTCATATTTTTTTAACTTTTTGGGAGCCTTGCCGGACTCTCAACTCTGTTCGTTTTCCTTTTTTTACTGCTTTTTATATTTCTGTTTTGCAAGGCGGCGTGCGAGTTCTGCAACTGCACTTATTCCCTCTGTCTCATGGTGTGTGCTGCTGCTGTTGCTGCCACTTATTACTGTGGCGTGGCTGTGCTTGGTTTTTTAACATTTTCCCCTTTTGCTTTCACTCTGAGTTGACGTGTTGTTAGTTTGTGCTGAAGGCTACACGCAAGTGACAGGAGTGATGGCGATGATGATGACTGGCCGTGTGCTGCTGGTGTGTGCCCTCTGCGTGCTGTGGTGCCTCAGTGGTTTTGGAGCTGCAAGGGACAACCGCTGCGGTGAGGGTGGAGGGGACGTCTTTACGCATGCAAAGAAAGATGGAGATGACAGGGTGCGCCTGAAGGCGGACTGCGGGCTGTTATCCACCCGAATGGGATTAATAAATGCGGTTGCGGCTGGGGACGACGGTGAAGATGGAAGTAATAATGCCGTATTGGAAAAGACGGAGAAATCACTGCATAGTAGTGTCTTGGCTGGTCCTGGGGACATTGCAGCGCCTGGTGCAAAAGGAGTGGAGGGTGCCGCAGGTGCAGGATTACCTCCCTCGCCGTCTGGGCCTGGAGGATCAGGTACAGGAGGAGAGCAGAGGCAGTCAGAACAGTTGGATACAAAAGGAAAAGGGGAAGGAGGTAAGAGGGATGAAAAGGGCGGTAAGGCAGCTGAGTCCCAACAACAAAGACCTGATCAATCTTCTTCATCTGGCAGCGACGGCCCTCAGGGTGGCAAAGAACTCGCTTTGAAAGAAAAATCCGAGAGTACTGAACCCTCCGTTGACACGCCGACACAAGAAGATGAAGTTGAAACGGAGGAAACAAATGTGTCAGAAAAAGAAGAACCTGGAGGAGACGAAGGAAAAAACAATAACGTGGCACTCACAGTGACAAGTGAAAGTCAAGCGAAACTGAAAAAAACACAAACAGCAACACCACCAACAACGCAAGTGAATGAACGGTCCCGCACTGAGGATTTAGGATACCCGCAACAGCCAAAAGGCGTCCAAAGCGACATTGAGTCAAAATACAATTCACAAACTGAGGACGGTGTCTCCATCGCAGCCAACCAACAGAATGAACCATCTGACGACCATGGAAAATCAGGAATACCTTCACCCACGGCAAACGGTGGTGCCGCCAATAATGAAACTGACAATAGCACTGAAGACGGCATCTCAAACAGTGATCCAGCAGCTGATGCCACAGGGACACGAGAGGGAAAACAAAATGAAAATAAAGATGCCAATCCGAAAAAAACACCAGTGACGGCTGCAGCCATGAAAACTACAACGGCGACGACTGGCGACAGTGACGGCAGCACCGCGGTCTCCCACACCACCTCCCATCTTTTGCTTCTTCTTGTTGTTTTTGCTTGTGCGGCTGCTGCTGCGGTGGTGGCCGCGTGAGAGTGAGTGTGAGAGAGCCGTGCACCGCCCGCACACACACTCGTCCTTCTCTCTGTGTGTGTGTCCCCTTGCATGGACTCTCGCCCTCACCTCACCCCACGAGGCACACACATAATGTGCCCATTGTATATATGCATGCACACCCATGCAGGCCCGTTGGTGCTCTCTTTTGCACGACACGCACCGCTGCCGTCCTGCCTGGCTGCATGGGCGGAGCACCGTAACTGTTTCTGTTTTGTTTTTATTGCATTGAGTGGGCGACCTCTCTCTCTCTCTCCGTCTGTGTGTGTGTTTTGCTTTACGGGAGCAATGAGAGTGTGTGTGCGCTGGTCGTCCCACGCTTCGGCTTTTTGTTTGTCTTTCTTTTTGATTTTGTGGTTGAGTGCACCCATTCCGCGGCTGCGTGTGTGTGTGTGTGATGATATGAGTAATTTGCGTGTGTGCTATCTGCCTCTCTCTGTCGTTGCTTTCTTCTGACTCTCTTGTGGCGCACAGCTGCTCTGCAAGTATAGGCGCTGCCAAACACACACACACAAATGCACATGCCATTTTTCACACAATTTGGCTGTGGCGGCTCTTGCGGGGAGGGAGGGTGTGAGCTCGCCGTGCGTTCCCTGGACTTGCTGCGGTTGTGGTGTTGGCGACGTGCAGCAGTTGACTGATGTGGTGTGGCATTAAGGGTGCCTGGGAGGAGTGCCGATGCTTGCCCAGCAGCTGCACGTGCCGACGTGTTTCTCTCGCTGTTCATGCAGCGACGAAGGATTCTCCGGCTGTGCGGGGCGATGTGCGGTGGAGGGTGCTGGGAGAGACAACAGTAAAACGACTGGCGGCAGCGCGTGTGGGCGTTACTCGGTGTGCGCTGACGCGTGGCGGAAGCACCCGCTGTGGCTTTTACTGCTGGTGGCAGTCGCTGTGTGTTCCCGGTGCACTGTCCTTCCTTCTCGTTCCGTGTGTCTGTGTGCGTGAGTTGTTGTTGTTGGGAGTGACTGCGGTGGGGATGATGGTGCCACTCACTGTGGATGGGCGGCGGTGCTCACTGTTTCACTCCTTTTTCCTCTTCTCTCTCTTTCTCACACAAAGAACGAAAGGAAGTAAGGCTAAACGCTAATAGCTACTGTGAAATTGTAAGGCTCTGAAAGGAACAACAACAGCACACACACTGCCCACACACACATATTTATATGCTCTCACGTGTTGCTGCAGTGAAGGCACCCCGCACACACAACCGTCGCCGCGTGACCGGATCCAGCGGGAGGAGGAGGGAAGGAGGAGAGAGTGAGCGGCAGAGGCCCAACATGTCCCGGCATCTCTTCTACTCCGCGGTGCTTCTCCTCATTGTGATGATGTGCTGCGGCACAGGAGTTGCTCATGCGGAGGTGCAGCCATCGCAAAAAAATTTTGAATGGAAAGTCATCAAGGATGAGGGTGTAACTGTGGAGTCGTTGGGTGTTCCCAGCCTTCTAAAGGTGGGGAGTGAAGTATTTGCCGTTGCCGAGGCGAAAAACACGGGGAAGGACGTTCAAGGCAGCTTTACTGGCATTGCATCCCAACTTCTCACGGAGACAGTGGAAAAAAAGGATAACACACCGGTGGAAATAATGAATGATGCCAACACGAAGACACAATTTCTGGAGGAATCTATTTCCGCAGGCCCAAAGAAGAAAGTGGATGTGAGCCGACCAACAACAGTTATGAAGGGAAAAGACATTTACATGATTGCTGGGAAATACAGCCAGACAGCTGCTACCGGTGAGAATAGAGGTGCCGATGACTCGGGGCTATTGCTGGTGAAAGGGGAAGTCGGTGGTGAAGAAAATAAGAAAATAATTTACTGGAAAAATACTGAAAGTCTCCCGCGAAGACTTTTTGGCACAGAACTCGAATCCTTGACGGGACTGATTGGCGGCGGTGGATCGGGTGTTAAGATGCATGATGATACGCTTGTGTTCCCAGTGGAAGGCACGAAGAAGAAGGGTGACGCACCAAACGATGTGAAAACCGTTTCGCTGATTATACACGACTTGAAGGATACTACTGAGATTTGGAAGTTATCGAAGGGGATGTCTGACGGTGGCTGCAGTGATCCCTCCGTCGTGGAGTGGAAGGACAAAAAACTCATCATGATGACTGCGTGTGATGGTGGCCGCCGCAGGGTGTACGAGATCGGTGACAAGGGGGAGTCGTGGACGGAGGCACTCGGGACACTCTCGCGCGTGTGGAGCAACAAACAGGGCGCAGGAGCGAAGGCCGTTAGAAGCGGGTTCATCACAGCGAAGATTGACGGTGAAGATGATAAGAGAAATGTGATGCTCGTCACTCTGCCGGTTTATTCCGAGAAGGCTGATAAAAAAGTAACGGACAATAGAAAGAGTGAACTCCATCTTTGGCTGACGGACAACACGCACATTGTTGATATTGGGCCGGTATTCGATGATGACGCTGCCGCCAGCTCCCTGTTGTACAAAAGTGGAGATAATAATGAGAAGGAGGAGTTGATTGCACTGTACGAGAAGAAGAAGGACGGTGAGAAAGAAACATCACCTGGTATGGTCTCTGTGCTTCTGACTGCGCAGCTGAAGCGGGTGAAGGATGTGCTGGCGACGTGGAAGGAGGTGGACGGCCGTGTCTCCAAGCTGTGCACCTCTGAGAGTGTTGAGAAGGATGCCTCAACCGGCGATGCCTGCAGCCCTACTGTTAAGATCACGGATGGGCTGGTTGGCTTTTTGTCCGGCAACTTCTCTGGTAACACATGGAGGGACGAGTACCTCGGGGTGAACGCCACAGTGAAGAATAAAGAGGATGCAGGGGAGACAGGGGCAACAAATACTTCCGATGGTGTGACTTTCCGGGGAGCGTGGGCGGAGTGGCCTGTTGGCAGTCAGGGGGAGAATCAGCTGTACCACTTCGCGAACTACAACTTCACTCTTGTGGCGACGGTGTCCATCCACGGTGTGCCGCAGGAGGGTTCTCCCATTCCTTTGATGGGTGTGCAGATGAATGACAGCGGGAAGATTGTTCTCCTGGGACTGTCGTACAACAGCGGAAAGAAGTGGCAGGTGCTGTGTAGTGGCGGGCCGATCAGGAACACAGCAGCACTTTGGAGAAGGATACAACACATCAGGTGGTGCTTATGCTACGGAACGGGCACCCAGGCTCCGCGTACGTCGATGGTCATCCCGTGGGGTGGGAATGTGTCCTGTGCATTGGGAAATAGGGATCAAAGAGA